CCGAAGGTCATCCGTTCAAATCGGGTTGGGGTCATATTTTCTTTTTTCTCTTTATGGCTTCCACGCTACAATTGAGATTTGCGACGTGGCATGCTCCGAGGCGGTCGGAAGTCGCATTTTGCCCTGTCTCTCGAGGCGCGATCGCAAGCCTGGGAGAATGTCTCGACACATATACCGACCGCAAGACGAAGAGAGAAGCCGAGACTGCTGGTAGCTCACTTGATCTTCGAGTTGTACTGTCGGCGAGGCGAACGAGTAAGCACCGCCGTCGTCTCTGCTTTGCGCGTCGCTAGGAGTACTTACATCGCCGAGCAGTCCAGACGCCTCGCGTATCGACTGCAGACAGCTGCGCTCGACATCGTGCTCTTCGTCGTCGCTCCTGGTCGTCTTCGCAATCCGGTCAAATCGTGCAAAGATCGTCCGGACGGCGCTGGTGACGTCCGTGTAGAACTGGAGCTTCGCTGCAGGCGACAGATCGTCGAAGGGAGCGAACATGGGAATGACTCCCTCTCGACGGCGGAGGACCTGACGTCCACGTAGGGTTTTTCGATTTGTCCCTCGCTGGGCTGAGATGCAGGAGCGTGCATGTGCTCGTGGTCCTCGTCGGCATTGTACTGGGCGTACAGATCTCGTTCCGCGGCAAGAAAGGTGGGGGTGATGTCCGAGGGGTCTTGCTGGTGGCGGAGACGGGTGAGCATCTCGGAGACTCTGTGCCGGTCGAGGATCCACTTGCAGCTGCAAGGCGTGCCGTTGTCCGAGCAGTTCTTGCACTTCTCCGCATGACTGCCGCTGGGATCAGGGGGGACGCAGGGTTGGCCGCGGCCGAGGCAAGTGTGACAACCTTTCTTAGGCCAGAATCGAGTTAAGAGCGTCTTGCGCAGCCTCTGCGTCGTGTATATCGGCTTGCACTGACGTTCGGGGAGGATGTCGTTGTGATGGCGATAGCAGCCCGTCTTCTTTGCCTTAACCTTGATGCGCCTGTCCTTGGTGTAAGATGACTTCGGTCGATGATCGCCAGCTCCGGGTGAAGAGCCGCTAGCCACAGCTGATGTGGACGCCGTGCTGCTTGCGGCTCCGTGGACCGTCGTGTCGTCGTCGTCGTCCGTAGGAGCAGCGTTGTCGCCCGTCGTCGGCTCGTGTACATCCTGCATCGTCGCATCCTCGTGGGTGTCGCCAAATAGGTGGCGAAACAGGCTCCGAGCGCTAGGCACGGTCGGCTGCTGCGAGGAGCCGGAAGCTGTGCTAGGACGTGCGATGTCAGTATTCACCTCTCGTGGATGAGCAACGAGCGGACTCACCTTGAGCTTGCTATGCGCGTGGTACCATCCAAGTCCCATCGGATCCCCTTCGGATCCAGTCGTGATCGTCCCAACTCGGAGGATCCAAGTTGGCGCACGATGGGTGGAGGACGGAGAGGCAGAGATGATGTTGTGGTAAGCGCAGGATCCACGATGCTGTTAGAGGACCCTGCGTAGCGAAGTACGGTGCGTAATGTCTTGATGACCCGCACCCGCACAAGAAGATTCCGGAGCGGGAGCGGCAACCGAAGCCACGCCGCAAACGCAGCATTCTCGCTAGTCCATGCGGCACGGAGCAGTCCTCTCGGCTCGTGCAGCCGGCTTGAAGCGGAGGCCTGGGCCGAGGTCGAGGAGAGCGAGTCGATGTGTCACAGGCTCATCGCGACGAAAGGCAGGGACGACGACCAAGCGCAATCCTTTGCACAACCGAGTCGCAGGCCTGCAGCGAAAGCAAGAAGAAGTTCAAGGTATGGGTCTGCGATTTGGTGGGATCCGCACGGCCTGGACTTCATGTCGGAGACGCAGCACACAGTGCGGAACAGGAGGACGAAGCGAGACATCCGCAACTCAGCCACGGCAGGACCCCTGGCTCCGCATCAGCACTTGCTATGTATGGCGACGTCCTGACGATACGCTTCGCTCCCTTGCTCCGCCTCCATCCCTCTTACTTTCCACCTTCCCCTCCCACTTCCCC